ATAATGATAATAACAATAAAAATGATAATAATATAAACTTGGAAACATGAATATTGTAGTATGATGATATGGCTGATTTTTGTTTTTTATTTGTTGATTTACTTTATGGTCGTTTTTTCAGCAATTTTAAAATTTTAATTTTAATTTATTTTGTTTAATTCTAATATATATCTATGTAAATAATTTTAAGTTAATTTTATCAATATGTTAAATATGTAGTATATAATAATTAATAATAGTATTTTCAAAAATGTTTCGCGCTTAAAATTAAGTTATAGGTATGACGTCATTTGTTTATAAACGATAATTTTCGTTATTATTTAAAATATTTTGCACTGACGATGATATATTTTATATCAAAAAAGCTTTCTGCAATTATTTATTTTAATAAACATGAACAATAATAATTTTAGTTTTTTACTTAATAAATTAAATATCTATAATAAAATTTTAATTGGAAAACTTGAAAAATTAATGTATAAATATAATAATTGTATTAACGCGGTTGATTTTCTTGAAAACTGTATCGAATATGGTCTAAATCCTAATTTCACAATATATGTATATATATATATATATATATATATATATATATATATATATATATATATATTTATATATATATATATATATATATATTATATAAAGATAAATGATAAATGAAAGGTAAGGTAAGGGTAAATCCAGTCTAAACGTTTATTTTTATTTTTATCTTAAGCTCTTCATAATTTGGCTTCCAAAAACAACTAAAAAAATAGACTCGCGGCCATCTTTAAAAATTGTTATTGATTCTGTCGGCGATCGCTGTTTGTTATGTTAAGCTTCATTTAAACAGTTGAAGAATTCGTCAGTTCAGTAATTTCATATTTACATTTACAAGGTGGTAAGATTGATAACATTCACTTTTCAATTTTCCTTAGATACTCAGTTTATTTAACAATTAGTACTTTAATATCCATCTTTTTATTCTTTCCCCCCATTCATTTGTTCCAATTTGGAGTTAAAAATAAAACACATTACTTGCATTTAGTGTGTTCAATTACCGAGATTGATTTTTGTTATTTTATTGGCCTGAAATATGGCAAAATTGGAAATCAGTCTTGGGTTTATCCAGTATTAGTAGATTATTATATATTTAAAAGAAGTTATTTGTTTTTAATTTAAATTAAAAATAAAATATTTATAGTGATATATCCAATATATACTATTTGATATGCAGTTGTTCAAAAATGTCACAGCATTGCAGTCATTGTTCAATTCAATTTGCAATTAAGTTTTTCTATTTTTCATATAACTTATTTCAGCTCATTATCAAGTTTGTTCGGTTCATAAACTAAATTAAGCAAAAGTATACTTCTCTGACTACTACACATGCAATTAATTTTATGAAATAAGCATGGAAGTGAGAGTAAAAATAGAGTGAAAAGTGAACTTAAATTAATGAGGAAAATATGCACTTTAGAAGTTTTAAATTAATTAAAATTAGAAATGCATAAAGGTAGGTGTTAGGATTAGGAATAAAGTTGGCTAAATAAAAATACCTTGGCAAAAGTTTATTTATGTTAAAATTTGTTTACATTTATGATTGTTTACTTCACTATCTCTAATAGAGAGTTACACTAATATGCAGAAAGTTGATTGAGATAAAAATAGAAGAAAGAAGAATTTTAAATTTTAAAAACGTTTATTTCGCATTTAAATATGTTAACATAGTAATATATTAATTAAAATAACAATATATATATATTAAAATTTATTAAAATCAATTTATTAAAATAGGTTTTATTAAATTTTAATAATTTTTTGGAAGTTTTTAGTTTTTTTTCTAAAGCTTCAAAAAAAGTCACTTGTATTTCTATTTCCAACGTTTCGTGGTTGTTCTCATGGTTGTTCTCGTGGTTGTTTTAATAAAACTTGAATTTATCAAAAAACCAAGTTACATTGAAAGGTATGTCAAAATCGTTGGGTAATATCATCTGCCTCCGACGCGACATCACCATCATCATAACTTGAAACATAGAGCGAACAATTTTATTATACTTCATTTTATCATTTCTTCTATTTTCAATTAATTTTCAATATTATTTTTTCACAAAAACCTAACTTAACCCTGCCCCTAGCCCTGACACATATACACACATCAACTTTACACACATATACATTCTACACATTATTGTTTTGTGTAGAAATTTAATCATAGTATTTAATGATCCTAACAATAATCTCCATTTTAAATTTGAAACATAATCAGCATACATCATTTTTACATGTACAACCATTGAGCTTCAGAGTAAATTCAATCTGATAATTTAGCATAGGAATTGAACTAAGCAGTTGATTTTGAAAATCCATGGAAACCCACATTTAGTTTTTATTATTGACATAGTCATGATCATAAAATTTGATAGCATGATTGAATGTCTTATTCAAATGAGGAGCATGTACAATTTTAATTGCAGAAATCATCTCAAACATCTTTCAATTAAATAGATAACGATGAAACCATTGTGTTACAATAAAGTGAAGAAATAGTTAAATGTCTAAAATCTTGTGTCTTGAGTTTGCTTAGGTGCAATGAAAGTGCTTAGTTTTATATTATTTCCTATTAAAAATTGGTTTAATTTTTCATCAAACGTTTTTTTAAAATGAGACGAAAACTGAAAAGAATTAATTGCTTGGAGACAAAATAAAAATGGAAATATTTATGAAACAAGTAGAAATAAACTTTTCAAAATGAAATAGATATATAAAGTTGTTGCAACCAATATTCCATTGCATAAAAAAATGACTCTTTTGTAGTGTAAAACAGATTACTAGTTATTGGCTGAAGAGTTCAGTTTTGGCATTCATCTCTGAGAATAGTGGAAAGAAGTATATTTAAAATAATATAACATAATCTGCAGATTCAAAAAGCTTCAAAGCATGTAAGGTATTATAATATCCAGCATATTTCATAATACTGTACTTGTTTTGAAACCTTTTGAATTTGCAGTTTATGTGTGGGCTATTTTAAATTTGCTTCTTTCCACTATTTTTAAAGATGAATGCAATTAAATTTAAAAAATCAAATGCATATCAATTTAAAAAATACACAGTTGGCTCCTTAAGAACTGTCATATCAAAATACTTTTCAAATTGATTTCTGAAGTCAATCAATTTTCGTTTAGTGTCCAGAGACCCAGTTCCCTGAGGTAAGACTTTAAGAAGCATTATAGCACTTATAGATTATCTAAAATAAATGGTTTTTCATTTTCACTTCTAATTCCTACATACAATTTGATTCATGTCATCTTAAAATTTGGTTTAAAAGAGTTATTGTTGATTTATAAAGTTTATGAATTAATAATTTATAAATATTTTCAAATTATTCATTGAAATGAAGCAAAGCATTTGAAGTGATTGATTTCAGTAATAGAATGTCATCAACATCGTTAGTGTCATTGTACCCAGTTGATGGTGGAGATCCCATCTGCATACCTTCTGATAAAACAGTCATAGGTCGGGGTTCACTATTTAAGGTTAACTTTGTGTTTTTATATTAATTTCTATCGCTTATTATGATTACCTAAAATCTACCACACGACAATAACTTTTGCATGTTTAATTTACTGTATTTTGTGACGTCTGCCATGTGACGCTTTGCAGATAACAGATAAAAGAGTTTCCAGGAATCATGCAACTTTAGAAATAGTTGATGGAAAACTTATAATTGTTCCAGTTAGTTATCTGAATAACTCCTGGATTTTAGAGATATTTTTATCTATTGTAAAGCATTTCACCATAACCGAATTATTACAATTTTTTTTGAATTTAACATTTATTGTATTAGCTCCATTTTTTAATAATTAACTCTTATGCTAAATTTTTTTTAATTTGGAATAGATCCATACCAACCCATGTTTCTACAAGGCCGTTGGTGGTAGCACATCTGTTGTTCTGCCAAAAGATAAGCCTCAACCTTTAGAACATGGTGATGTTATCTCACTTCTTCCAGACAAACTCTTCTTCAAGATTCATTACAAAAATGAAGGGTTGTTAGTTTTTTCAATTTAATTTTATTAAGTCAACAATGTTTTTAATATGAAGAATTGACAGCTGTTTAAACACTGAATGTCAGCTAAAACTTAACTTGAAGAACAAATTCGCCACATATTTTTATCTTTGGTTGGATTTTACATGATTGTTTAAATCTTTCTATTGTTGCACTTGTTTTTGGTGTTTGTGCTTTTTACCATGCATTCAACTGTTTCATAAGTGTATCCTCTTTTTTTTAATATAGTTTATAAATCTTCAGATGTTATTTCCAATGCTACCCAATAGTGAAATTATTTCTAATCATTTAATTGCCCTATTTTAATCCGGCTGTGGAATTTCAGCATTTTGATCTCTTCTTTTACTTATTTTTAAACATCTTTGACCATATAATACTTGTTATAAGGTCCTAAACTGGAATAGTTTGATATTAATTGTTTAGTTTAAGAATGTTGTTTGGAGAGAGAAGTTTTGTCTCTTTACTTGTTGTGTGTAACTAACTCTGCCCTCTAATCTGAATTCTGTAAAGTCTTCAATCGTTTTTCTTTATTTAAAACTATCTCTTTTGGGTTGCGGTGGTTAACATTATTTAAATTCCTTACTGTGTTATCTATGTCCTTCCTAGTACTGTTTAGTAGGGTTGTTCATAGAAATTTTTTTTTAGATGACGTGGAAGCGATAGAATGTTACTCCAGCATCTGTAAACACACTTGGTATAACAAATAATTTAAAAATGGGCTATACCTGTCGCCCTGAGTCCGAAAATGCGCACTTTAATCTAAACCTTTTTCCGTATGATTGCTATATAAAGGTTGATTATAATTGCTGGTACTTTACAAGGCAAGTGTTAAATCAATTTATTTATCAAATACAACTTGTTTTTACTATATTTTAAAATTACATTTCCTTTTTATTAATCAAATAAAAAAATCGTCAAAAATCTTAAATTACAGCACTTATATAGTTTGATAACGAGTCCTGTTTAATATCTAATCCATATTCATGTAAAATATTTAAAATTGAAAAAAAATATACAAAAGTACACATTATTTCAATACCTATAATAAAACTGTAGAACTGCTAGAACAAAAGTACACATAGAACAAAACTGTAGAACTGCTTTTCTCATCTCACTACAAACAGCTCTGGCGACGACTGAAACTATTTTTACTTGTTTCGGTCAACGTTTTGAGTATGAAAGGAAAATATCTTGTAAGGAATTTTATTGTTTTTTTTTTCAATTTCATCATCCGAGGTGTGTTTTATCATTGGTGGTAGAATCTGATCAAGTTCCTGAAAATTTAGGAGATTAGAATAGTCGTCAGCATTAAAATTTAAAAAATGAATTTCGAATATTTTTTATCTATTATCTGAACTCAATTTAATGTACAGTTTTGCTTATTTTATTCTGGCGGCAACTTTTCTAATGCATGGTCTTTCATCAAGCAACATGGCAGAATATTTCCTGGGTGTCCGAGTTCTCAGAATACAACTCAATCATATTAGTGAGAAAACAAGCAAGTGAAATTATACAAGACAAATGTCTTGCTCCTGTTTAGCACTGAGGCTGCAATTTTATTAAAAATCAAAAAAGAGCATTAACAAAAAAGAAATAATCTGTCAGTACTATAAAGTTTGCTGATGGTGAGTCACTTGACACATACAAATGTAGGATTCTGTTTGCAGTCATCAATCATCGGGAATGTTCCAAGAGACCAGGTTCTCTTCTAACTAAATTTTTTTCTATTTCTTCTGCTTCAATCGCTTTAATTGAATAAAGATATTCTTGATCCTTGCTTATATCAATATCACCATGATTTTAAAACTGGTAAGTAATTTCCTCCAGCTCTAAATTTTACAGTGGGCAAATTATGAAAGTTTGATAATGTTTCCAGAGAATGTCTTTGGACCAAATGTTATGCAAAAGTAGATGTTTCAGAGGAAGCTCATTAAAATGGTACATACGTATTAACCATTATACGGAACACCCAAAATCTAGCTCAATTAATTAAATAACCCATTTTTGTAAGCCAGTGTTAATACATTGCACAAAGATATTTCATTTTCGTTGAAAAAATCCATTATGGCATTTTTTATAGCCTCTTATGATTCATTTAATGGAGCAACATAGCCAAGGATCTTACCATTCATTGGGCTCTTTTTTTCTTTCAAAAAGTCTAAAAAATGGCATACTTTTTAAATTTAATTTTTGCAAATATAGCATATATACAAATTAAGAAACAATGTTTTTATCAAAAAGTACTCAATTTTTTTGTGTATGGTAAATTTTGAAGCATTCAACAGCACCCATTGAATTGTTATAATCTCTGACTACTTTGGGAATTTTCTTTACTTTTTTTTTCTTCATTTTCCAGTATTTCTGGATTATAGATGCTAGAAAATACTTAAACATCCTTTTTATCTTTTCATTTCATGTCACGAACCTTTCCTTTCTGGTAAGCAAAAACTTAACCTTTTTTAGCTTCTTTTTCTGTAAATCTGTTGAAGCTAGTCTCAATGTATCATATGTGTCTGCTTTGTATTTCAACAAAATATCACTTGGTTCTGAGGATGTATAAAAATTGTCTGTAATGAGACAATAACCCATATTCAGCAAGGGTTTCATCAGAGTCATTACTATTCTTGTACCCATAGTACCCTCCGTATATTGATCACAATGTATTGTGCCTTAACCATTATAAATTATAAATGAACAAATGTATCCTGATTTAGATTCACTTAACATGTATGATTTTATTTTTAACCTGGCTCTATTTAGGGGGATAAATTGAATCCATCCCAAACGAACTTTGTAAACTATTTGTGATATCTCTTTCAGGTGTTTGAGTAAAAGAAAATTTGCTGTTGAGATTATCAACAGTTTGCCATATTTTATATAGTTTTGGAATTGGGTGAACCCTAGCATCAAAACTAGTATTGTCAGCAAAATGCATATTACGTTTGCGCTGAACAAAATGTTTATAGGACATAACTTTACCGAAAAACGGCGTTTCTATACTGTCCCTCTTGGACCAATACCACTCGTATATGGGCTTACTAATAATTTCCTGAGGAAACATCGTCACTTGGGATAATCAGTTAAGTGGTTAATAAAGTTACATGCCAGTTAACAAGCCATTGCTATTTCAATTTGTCAGTGGTTTAAGCATTATTTATTTTTTTCATGACTCTGAAATCTATCTATTACTAGTCTCTAAATTATCTAGCAGCACCTTCCATTACAACCCTTAATTCCCTTTTTTAACTCCCAAGTTGTATGTTTCGCCTCTTGACTTTTTTCCATTGAACATGATCGACTACTTTTTTTTATCTAGTTGCAAAATTAAATAAGTTGATTCAATTAATTAATGAATTTTTGTTTGTTTTTGAACAGAAATGCAGTTGAAATCATCACTGAAGGTTAAGTTTTAATTATTTTTATAAATTTTCTTATTTTTAGAATTGTTTTAATAGCTAGAATCTTTATATGTCCTGGTTATGACATTAAACTGACCCTCACTGCCTTGTGAGTGATGTTGGATCATCAAAGGCTAGGCCCACCGCTTATAACTGTGGTTGCGTAAGGAAGGGCGTCCTGCGTAAAAATTAGCCAAATAAATTACTTATGATGACAGAAGTGACAATGGTTTCATCATAGGTAGCCAAACGGCAACCCCCGATCTCGGGGAAAATGTCGTCTAAACGTGTGTTGTTGTTGTAGAATCTTTATGTACTGTAAATTAATTTTTTCCTGCTTTACTGAAAAGGGATTCTTTTCATTGCTATTTCAGAAACTATTTTTGAGCCCAACTCATCGTGGTTTTTATTAGGTTTTTTGTGGTCTATAGCAACAGACCATCAACTGTGTGATTGGGAAAATTTTTTATTTTATTGCAAATTTAATTAAGTTAATTTGTTAGCTCGGTTGCTCATTGTTTGAAATATTTTATGAATTGTCATTAGATGCTTTGTCAAAGGAAGAAAATGCAGGTCAGACAAGAAATTCATCAGATGGTAATGAGGACCAGGCTGCCACAAATGTGAGATTTTCATGGTTTTTGTTTTCATACATATCGTGTAGTATATGCCAAATCAAGATGAATCAAGTCATGGTTGAATTAATGACCTGTCGTGGTTGTCAAGTTTTTTCTCTTTTTATATACTTGTCTTCAGTGGTGTAGCTAAAAATTTGCTGTGGGGGCCTTTAAAACTTTTGAAAATTTTTTTTAGTTTTCAACTACGAATTTTGCTATTGAAACCCAGTGATTTTATGGAAAATTTATCTTAATTTTATTGTTGTGAAATGGGCTTAAATTGTTTTCAGCCCAAATTTAAGTTTTTAGGTTGGTGTGTTTTGGGATGAATGCCTAACTATTCTATTCGATGAGTGTTAAATAAAATTTGTTTAATTAGTCAAGATTAATTTGTCTTCATGAGCTTGTCACTCTAGTAGCAATTTATAAAGAAGCATGAAATATAAATGTGGGTTTCTTTTACTAAAATACTCCGATGAATAAATTTCAAATATTTAGAATAAATGCCATGAGTGAAATTTTATGATAACAATGCAAGAGTCAATCAACAGATTTAATTAAGTTAATAATTTAATTAATTTGAAAACTTAAACAATAAATGTAAATAATAAATTTAAACAATAAGTTTTAGATAAATGAATTGTATTTAAAATTTTTAAAGAGTGTTATTTTATGTGTTTCATGCAGAAAATTCGCTATTTTTACTGTTTTCACCCGTTTTATGCATTGAGAATGAACTTTTTTATTAATTATTATTATTCTTTAAAAATCAGGATCTGACAGATGCTGAAACTGTTACGGCATGCAAAGCAGTAGTACAAAATCAAACAAATAAGTAAATAAATAAAAAAAAAAAACGGAGAAAGAAAAATGTTTTAACATGAAAAATAAAATAGAATAAAATAAATAATAATAATAAAATAAATAAAAGAAAAATAAAAGAAAGTGGAAGTAGTGGCATAAATACGCAAATTAATAGACTAGATGATGACTTAGTGAGTTGATTGATAAATAAAAAGTAGTTGTGTGAATGAAAAAGTTTTATTGAGTGTTAATATGTTTGAGGTGTCTTGTGATGAAAGTCTTTTCCTGATATGTAGATTGGGTGGCGACTTGATAGTTATGTTTGCGCTGACGAAAGTTGTGTGTTGTAATTTTAATTGGTGGGAGTAGGGGATGGATGACGTAACTGGATCAAATAATGTAAAATGTAGTCTTTCAGTTAAGATGTGTAAGATGTTATTCCATATATATGATGAATTAAGGATTTTATTATAATCATTTGGATTGGGATCAAGCCAGTTAATTATTTATTTATTTCAAATAATTTTTTATTTAAACAATTTTTTTATATAGCTTATACTATACAGTTCTTTATACACGTTTGAAGTTTTAGTGATAATTAAAATTTATATGCATTAAGGAAAATTATATGAAACACCGTTGAATTAATAAAATTTGCTTTGTTGGTTAGTTTACTAATATAAAATATCATGCAGTCAGTAAAGGAGAATAATATATCAAATGCTGAAGCCGTTACCGCTACTGTTGGCACTACTACTGCAGTTACTGCCACTACTACTACAACTAACAGTGCCACCACCGCTATTTCAACTCCTATCACTACTGTTAGCGACCAGAAAAGACATTTGCCAGATTGGATGGTAGGAGCTGCTAGCAGACAAAAGTCATCTCACAAACTGAATGATATTTCTAAGGAAAATGTTGAAATCTCTTCAAAATCTAAAGGTTTGTATCATGAATATTTAATCATCATGCTTTCCGACTATTTTAATTCATATGTAATTCAAGTAATTTACAACAAAATTTCCTATTCAATGGGCACATTCATGATTAATAGAAGCAACTTATAAAGTCTTACTGAATGGGTTTCAATTTCATAATAAATTAAATACTGCATTGCCATCGTTGAATCATCACTTGAAATGACTTTATTCTGTTGATAGTTTAATTATGTGGTTAGTTTGAATTAATGGTGTGTCACAAATGATCAAATTATTATCAACATCTTCTTTGACTATCACCCAAGGAGAAAATATACTTGGAAGAGTCCCGGAGACAAGGTAAGAAATATGATTGATTACATTACAATAAATAGACTATTTCGAAATGCTGTTTTACAATGCAAAAGTTGCCCTGGATCTGATTGTGACAGTGATCATAATCCAGTTGTTTGTAAAATCAAGTTAAAGAAAATCAAGAGAGAAGTGGTCCCAAAATGTTTGAATTTTGTCAGTCTTTCACAAAATGATGAGATGAAGGTCAAGTATTTTCAATTATTGACGGAAGACTTAAATCTAAATATGAAATATTTAAAGATGCCCTCATAGAATCAGCAAGGGAAGTTATACCTGTGAAGGAGCAGAGAAAAGGTCAGAAATGGATAACAGATGACATCATATCTCTGATGGATGAACAAAGGAAAATAAAAGGTTGCAATCTTGATAGTTAAAATAAGCTGAACAAAACAATCAAAAAATGTGCTTAGAGGCAAAGGAGAAATGGTTAAATGACAAGTGCGAAATCATTGAAAAGATCAAAAACAGTAATACATGTGCGATGTATAAAAACATCAAAGAAATCACTGGAAAAAGAGCTTGTACCGTTTCTAGATGCATAAAAGCCATATCCGGTTAAGTAATCTTAGAGAAAAAAAAAGTACTTGAAAGATGGACTGAATACATTAACGATCTTTTTGAGCGCCGATTAAAATGTAAAATTTATCAAAAAAAAAAGTAATGTTAGGTTGAAAACAAATAAGCCTTTAACAGTCTTCTGAATGTCAACAGATTTAAACTAGGGTCCCGTAAATGGCTTGGGAGATTGTTCCATATCCTAAAAGCTAAAACAGCAAAACTTATAAAGTTTTAAACTGAACATGATTTTTCATAGGCAACCAATGTAGTTGTTTTAAAATTGGCGAGATGTGGTCATATTTGAAGGCGCCAGACACAACTCTAGCTGCACGATTCTGAACTGACTGTAACATCATAATTGACTTTTCAGGTAAGCCGTTGAACACACTGTTGCAATAGTCCAAACGCAAATGGATGAATGCATGCATCATCATCTAAAGAGTTTTTTTTGCCTATAGATTTTTTTAACAAATTCAACTTGTGCAGTTGGAAAGTACAGACTCTCATCAATGATTTTATGTGATAATCAATTTTTAACTTAGAATCAATGTTAACACCCACACTTGAGGCATTTGAACAGAATTCCACTTTAAAATTATCTATATTTAGTGAGGAGATATTTATTCTTGAGAGCTGTTGTCAGGTTCCTACCGGCAATAGCTTTGTTTTACTCTGATTAAGTTTTAATCTGTTATTAATCATCCATTTATTGACCTCCCAGACAACGTGTTAATTTGTTACCCGACTTATCAAACTCCTCCGGCGGGCAGCTAACAATTATTTGTATATCATCAGCGAAGGCATGCTCTTGTGAATCCAAAAGACTTGATGACATCCAGGATTTCTTGTGTGTAGGAACAGCAGTGACCCCAAAACCGGCCCTTGAGGAACACCAAACTTTATATTCTTAATTTTAAACCAGGTTTTATTATACAAAATCTGCTCAGTTTGATTTGAAAAGTATGATCTGAACCCCTTTACACTAAAACTTTAACATAACTGCCACAGTAGAATATCATGATCTTTGCAATCGAAAGCTGCACTTGTATTTAGGAATGCAATCAGATACGTGTTGGTTATCCATTGTTGCACACAATGTTAAGAAAACATGTAGCAAGACCGTTTCTGTTGAATGATATTTCAACTGATTAATATGTAACTAATTATTTTTAGACAAATGGTTTACAGCTTCTTAGCGACAATTCTTTCCATTACCTTAGATATGAAACGATGATTTGAAATCTGCCTTTAATTAGCAATATCACTGACATCATGATCTATCCCCTTAAGAAGTGGTATTACCATTGTATGTTTGCAAGGTGCAGGAACAGTGCCAATAGTCAAACACGTGTTGATGAGACTTGCTAAAAATTTGGAAAATAAACTAATATGTTTTTGAAGAAATACGTGGGCAGACAATCAAGTAAACATGTTTTTGTTGGACAATTTAAAATTATCTTTATAATTTTTTCTTCACTATATTTCGGGAAAACTAGAAACTCGTTGCTTATTTCAATCCTCTTCTCAAGAAAAGATGATTTGTTACTAGCCGTTGCATCTCGAACTCGTTCAATTTTGTCTTCAAAAAATTTTAGAAAACCAACACTAGTGTGCACCGTTTCAGTCTTATCAATATTGTCAACAGAATCTTTGCACAGTAGTTTATTTAGTGCATTCCGTAATTGTTTTGGCCTGTTTCTATTCTCATCAACTAAATTTGGCCACAAATAGTTCTTTTTTAGCCAAAACCACAATTTCTTTGATTTCAGTGCACTAATCTATTTATCTTTTCATCACTTGACATCGATTTTCTATAACTTCTTTCAAGCTTTCTACAAAGCCCTTTATGCTGCCGACATTCATTATCATACTATGGCACTACAGAATCACGACGACATTCTACTCTGTGTGGCGGTGTAACTATATCTAAAATCCTTTTTATTTCATTTACAAACAGATCAAACCTGAACATGCTTTACCAATCGGCGAACAGATAACCAATGAAATAAATGTTTCTTCATCAGTATGTTTGCACCATCTGATCGTTCGGTAGTATTTACTGATGCGTTTTCTTCTAAAAGACAAACAAGCTTTAACCAACCCTTGGTCAGAATGTATTCCACTTGGATAAACCATTACATCCAAATTATACAAACTGTTACTAGAAACAATCTAATCCAGTGTTCCTCCTATGCTACGAGTAGGCTGGTCAACTCAATTTTTCAAAAGAAAATCATCAAACAATTCCAGAAATGATCTGGCATGCGGACATTCTAGTCTATCGACACGAACATTGAAATCACCAATCAAAACAAGGTCTGAAACCAACAGCAACATATTATCCAGAATACATCTAAGTTCCCTAAAGAAAGCAGTTGTGATGGGCATCGATCTAGGTCTATATATGGCCAACAGACCAAATTCATGCTTACTATGTCATTTTTATTGCGTTTGCCTCAAGGTAGTTAATGACGGTATGTCAAATCGTCTGTGTCTGAACCTCTTTCTAAAATAAATTATCAATCCATTATGATTTGGATCGTATTTTCTGATATAATCAACACAGCCGTACCTGTCAGGCATTGCCGATTTTACAGAAACATCATTTTGATTCTCATGCCATGTTCCAGTTAGCAATAACACATCTAGTTCATCAACCAAGAGTTCATACACATCACTTAATTTAGATGCTATTGATCCGATATTTAACAGTCCAAAGCATATGTTACCATCATTGAAATCATCATCAAAGCTCGGCATACTACCAACAAAACCGTTTGATGAACCTTCATTTTTACAAAAACCATCTAATTTTCTGTCCTCTTCATGAACCTTACTATCTTCCAATTTCCAACCGCTTCCCTCACTCTGTATAAAAAACCTTGTGACATGTCGTCTCTTTCGCTTTAGCATCCATCACCAAATTCTTCAGTTCACTCCTTCGCTCACGCGTCAAATCATTACATAGTCTGATGTTTTTTTAGGTTATCTTTTAACGACCTAATTTTAGAGGCATGCTTTAAAAGATCCTCTTCCGTATTCAGACTATCCAACTTTATCAAGACCGGACGAATAACCGATTCATTCTTTCTACCTAATCTAGAGACTGACCTGACATGACCTTTGAAATGTGCTTGAATATCTTTATTGCAAGTTCACAGTCGTTTTGATCTTCTTTCTCTGACAAGTTGAAAATCACTAGATTCTTTTCTCTCTCTTTTAACCCACTGGCCTCATTCAATGTCTTTTGAACGTCTTAGACCTGATTGTTTATATTTTCAACAATGCTTGCCCATGAAGCTTATTGTGTTACCCTGCTTTCAAAAAGAGGATGTACGAGGACAGGCCGGATGATTCGCACCCGTCAACTTCTTTTCATTTGTGCGTAGATGGCAATTATTTGGATGTGAAGTATGCCAAGGTCCAAGATTGGACGTTCAACAAGACTGATTAACCCGTGTGATCGACAAGCAGCAACCAAGTCAAGAATGGAAACAGAAACATCACTTGATTGATTCATTTTGTTGATAGATGTATAAATATTCAGATAATTTTGGGTTTAGAATATCGTAAATACAATTATTTATAAAGATCACTGCGTTTTTGGCATTGTAGTTTAGTTTCTCAAATTTTATAACGAGACTTTTATCATCTTGATGAAGTTTATTAAGGTTAAATAAAAAACTTTTATTATTATTTTTTTAATTTAATATAATTTTAATAAAACGCAGCGATCTTTATAAATAATTGTATATATATATATATATATATATATATATATATATATATATATATATATGCTTTTGCCACCTTGACAACTGTCGTTTACAAATTTTAAATTTTTTGTTAGATTTTCATGCTTCTTTTTTGAATCTATTTCTATATATTTTTAATAATATTAAAACTAAAAATACTGATCACTAAATTAATAAATAATGCACAGACGATGATGGTTTAACGTCAAAAAATTTAATAAATAATTAAATAATTTTAATAAAATGTTTGTTAATAAAAATAAAGTTTCGATTTTAAACTGACTCAATTTTGTTGATAAAAATTTACTAAGACAAATTGAAAAATTCGAATATAAGTTGATAAATTGATAAACACTAATAAATCGGTTTTTATTACATATTGTCAAGACTTCGGTCTTATATCAGCATATATATCATCATCGTTTCAACGTCTGTGCTTCCGCGCTTGCACGGGTTGTACGGTTTCCAAGGATGCAACTTCTCCGTACATCGCGGTCTTATGCATCTTCCCATCTCAACTTTATCTTTCTCATGTCATCTGCCACACACTTCTTCCAAGTTTATCCTCCTCTTCCGCTACCCTTCTCTCCGTCTACTATCACATGTCTACATGCTGACACCCAGTCATCCGTTTCTCTCCGTTCCGCATGTCCAAAACATCTCAATCTACCTTGCCTCGCCCTATCACACACATGTGCTATATTTAACCTTTGTCGGATCTCTTCACTCGTTTTTCTGTCCCTCAGTGTTACGCCACACATCCACCTAATCATCATTTTTTTCTGCCCTTCCCATACGCTGCATTCCTCCCACTTTCATGGCTTATGTCTCACTGCCATACATCGTCACACGTTAAACATACGTGCTGTATATTTTTCCTATTACCTTCGAAGAAGCATCTCTTGCTGTTAAAATCGGAACTAGTTCTCGAAACTTAGCTTTACAATTTAAATTGTTAATGTTACGTTTTAGATGTCTATGCTGAGAGTTTAAATTGTTGAAAAGTAAAAATCTTATACATAGTTATCTAATATAATAATTACTACTGATTACAATACACACTTTTACACTTTTTAGCTGGTCTGAAAAAAGGAAAGCAGGTTGATTACTGTGATGATGATGATGATGATGAGGAGGAGGAGGATGTTGATGAGAACGAAGAGAGCAATGATAGTAACAAGGATGATTATATTGAGGAAAAGGTCAAAAAGCAGAACAACAAGAAGGTTCCAACCACTAGATTGAGAAAACCTCCAACTAGAAGACGAGGAAGTGATGATGACGACGACGATGATGGTGCCAAAAGAAGGAAGAGAATTCCAAGAGCAGCTACACAAAAAATTCCAAAATACAGTAAGCACATTAATTGCGTTAATTTATTTTCTGTATAATTCCGCATTATGTGAGGAATGATGCATTTGATTTTGCAGCTGATGATGATTTTGTAATGAGTGATGAAGATTTTGTCATTGAAGAAGATGACAGTGAACAGTCTGAAGGAGGAGACAGTGATTTTATCATGGATGATGCTGAGTCAGGCAGTGATTGGGATGCCAAGGTCAAGGTTTGTTCAATTATTATTTATGTCATGCAATTCCAAATTACCAGTATTCAAAACTGCTCGTTACCATATTTCTTTCTAAAGAACTTATCACTATCACTATTTATTGTCTGATTGCGTAATTATATTTAAATTTTGCAAAACTAATTAAAAGCGTAGCGGCAACAAAGGAAACAAAAGAAGATCATCATCTGGAAGAGGAGGAGGAAAGAGAAGAAGAGTTGATGAATCAGATGAGGAGGAAGAAGAGGATGAAGATGAATCAGGAGGGGATGATGATGATTACAAACCTCGCTCCACTAAAAAAAGAGGTGGAAGATCGAACAAAAGAAGAAATAGAAAACGAAATAGCGATGAGGACGATGATGACGATGAAGATAATGAAGACGATTATAAGAGCAGGCGTAGGCAAAGTTAGTTTTTCAGAGTTATTATGTACAGTATTTTTGTGGTTTGTCAGACGTTTTTTTAAGTTTTCTTGGCTTTGTTTAAAATTATTTTTAGGTAGCAAAAAGAATAAATCTCGTAACAAAAGAAGTGTAAGCAAAAGAAGAAAAAGGTCTGATGATGACGAGGAAGAGGAAGAGGAGGAAGACGATGTTAACGATTCATGGAAAAATTCTAAAAAAGTCACAAACAAAAGGAAAAGAAGTAAGTCAGAGGAGGAAGATGCGGAAGAATGTGATGATGACAATAATGGGGATGGAAAGAAACAAGAAAGAAAAAAGGCGAAAGTCCCATGTCAATTTGGGGCTGACTGTTTTCGGTTATTATTATTATCATTTTAGAAATTTTAATATTCAGCCGTTTGTTGTTTTCAAATGGATAAACGCAGTGATCTTTATAAATTTAGGAAAAACCCGAAACATTTAGAAGAGTTTAGTCATCCTAAGGCAGCAGTTGAAAATGACGATGATGGTCCTCGCAAGAAACGAGCTGCTGCTCTTAAGCAAAAAGGTTAATCTTGTCAATGTTTTTATCAATTTAAAAGAGTTTTGAATTATTAATGTCAGAATTGACATTTCTTGCAACGCAAATCTTGGTTACAAACAATTTTTTAACCGGTTTATTATGCCGATGATAAATTTTAATTTAGTTATTTAAATAAACTAAACTCACTTATAAGAATCGCAAACAATTCATTTGTTTTCTTATAACGTTTATTTATTGAAATGTTTAATTTAAATTGTCACAGCTCTATGCTGTTGAAAGTTCATTGAGAAATTTTTCAACGCATAATAATTAGCTAGACATGTTTATCAGAAAATCTCACGCCAAATCATATAGTGTATATGATGAACGTAATTAAATATATAATTTTCTATTTGCGAGTCACAAATTGAAGATATAACGATAAAAAAAATGAAAAATTTATGCAAGTATATAATGAGTAACTAATTGTAATTAAAACAAATTTACAAGTATACCAACTTAATATTTACTTTGAAATTCCAAATAATTTGTCTAGTAGGTTTACAAATGTTGTTAGAATACTTTTAAATCTTGACGTTTGCATGGTTACCTAAATGCATATACCTACATCTCAATATAAATAAAGCACATTATTGAAAATTGTTGAGGAAATTGAAAAGTTAATGCAAAATCATACTAAATTATAAAGATAATAAAATAATTATTTATAAAACCGAGAAATAGAAATTGTTTGAACAAATGAAATAAATATCAAACAAGCTAAAATGGTATAAAAAAATTTTGAGTGATTAGAATGCAATGTTGCAGGATCAAATCATTATGAACATAAGTTTGATTACTTTCGAAAGATTAGATATTAACAACTAATCTAAATGAAATATCTAAATAAAACAATTGTTTATGTTGTAGTAATTTGAAAACAGATGAAAATACAAGGACAAATTAAAAAAATAGACAATTTTAACTTGCCAAAATTTTTTTTTGGAACCAAGATTTCGTTAATATGATAACGTGCCCTAGCACTTTTATTGGTTTATAGTATTGTTATTGAAAAGCCTCCTTAAATAAATATCTTATTTATTTATTTGAACAAAGCACGGGCTATTGCCCATTACCGAATTTACAGGAAAAAAATACATAGTATTATACATGCATACCACGATACATTCGTACAATTGCTTCACAAGTATAACCACGAAGATAATGCATTATACCATGGCAGATTGAAAATAATTTCCAAAAACAATAAATTAACACTAACAGTGTCTTGAGTGTCACCATAAATGCAAACTTATAAACCAAGATATAATAAAATACTTTATCCATCTAACCCCATTAATCCCATCCTACACCTGAATAGCATAAAATTAACTACACATTTCCCATGCAATAGAAAAAATAAACAAACATTCATGCATCCATCTAATTTCCTTAACCTCCCCTACCCATATACCAACTCATATACCCACCTACTCATGAATCATTAATTATTATATCAGATAATTATATTAGAACCTAGAAATTTCATTAACTATTTACCAATCAATAAAAAAACCAAACAATCATATGAAAAACAATAATAATAAGAAAGTTATGAAATCAATACAAAATATAATTATCCAAAAAATATATAAATGAAATACGCACATGCATTCAACCTTAAAATGGGTAATGAAATAATCAATCCAAGTCAATCATACATATTCTCAGTCATTACTGATAAAAAATTAAACAAGTACATATTTTTACCTATATTTATGCTCATATTTTTACCATATGATAATTATTACATTAACCTCATAATATGAGTATTATAAATGTTGCATAAGTAATTCTCTCATTAATTCACTCCCATCCATCCATGAAAAATTCTTATTCTCTCATTAATTCACTCCCATCCATCCATGAAAAATTCTTATTCAATCATACTAATATATTAAAAATCTCAAACCATTTCTACTTATCAGCACACACATCCAATTGAACCGTCAGTTTAAAAGTATCACCTATATTGAAATTTAGCATCACCCCAAAACAAATCCAAACGAGATTTAAAAACACTTGTATTTGGAGAGTCAACAACAGATTATGGGAGTCTATTCCAGTCCGCGACTACTCTGTTACAAAAAAAATATTTTCTAACATTTTTTGTAATTCTTATCAGAATTACAATTGAATATCTTAGTTCATTGGAGATCGAAACGATCAATTTCAATTTTAAGTGGTTTTTGAAAGCTTCAATCACTTAGAAAATCAATATTAAGTGCCAAATTTTTTGCTTGACATCATTTTAATAACGTGTGTTATCTAGTTTTAGTGTTTAAATTAACACCCTGATAAGTGACCTGACCAATTGTTATTTTTCAAATGAAATGGAATCACACAAATGCTTGAAGGATGAATTTCAAACAACTTTTACAGTCTAAAATTTGAGAAATACAACAAAGATCAAACGAAAGCTTAACTATATGTTCAATACCAATTTTTTTAAATTAAAAATTTTTAAGGACTTTAGTGATTACTCAAAATTTGATGAATATAAAAATATTAGTTGTTTAACGTTCATTATAATTTTAATACGTATAAGATATATATAAATAAACTTGTTTTTATTGAGCCTAACATTTAAAGTTTTTGTAATCTTGATTTTAATAATTACGATTTCTATTCAACTGTCTTTTTTAACTTATTTTTCATTTTGTTAGTCAAGTCACCAGATTGACTTAATGATGAATTTTAACTTGATGATAATGGGAAGGATTTATATCGTAAAGGATGACTGATCTTCAGTTTTGTTTGAAACACTAATATATTTTGCGGAGCCCCGTCAGTTTTGTTTTCACAATGTTGTTGACTTCTTACACTTATACCTTATTTATTAGCAGCAGAAATGCAAACTTTGAGGCGTGGTATTGAGACATCCTCACATACAGTAAAACTAAAACCATGAAAAAATGAGTAAGAAAATATCAAATGACGAAAAACTTTTTTTCTATTAAAAAAAAATTAAATGTCTTATACTCTTCTAACAGAGAAATCAACAATGCATGATGTTCAAAAATTCGCTAACCAAAAAGATTTTTTAGAAAGGATAATTATCCAGATCTTTTTTTAATACAAAAATCAAATTATTTTTTATCAATCTATTGTAAAATTTTACTAATTCAAAACCACCTGACCCAAATTGACATGTTTGTACCACTTAGTGGGCAAATGTGATACATATATATCAATCAATCTTCGTTTCGCGTCCAGAGACCCGGTTCCCGAGGTAGGACGTGGTTTTCTTTGCCATAAACTTTTTGTGCCAAATTAGACGATCAGTTGTACCCATTTCATTTAAATTTAGAGCTTTCATGTCTTGCTCGATTGTTTGCGACCAGGACTTCTTTGGACGGCCTTTGGGACGTGTGCCAGGTACTTCAACATCTGCAAGAGAAGTTATGGCACTGTTTTCACTTCGTTTGACATGACCAAACCACCGCAGACTGTGTTGCCGGCATTCATTCTTTATATCATCTAAACCAGCACGACGCAGGATTTCGGTGATTTGATTGGTCCTTCAGACTAATTCGTTGCATCCATCGGAGCATTTTCATGTCGGTTCGTTGAAGTTGTTGTTCTAGTTTGGTTGTCATTGGCCATGTTTCTGCACCATATAACAACACCGGACGTATCACAGATTTATAAAGTCTTGATCGTAGTGGTTGGTAGTGGGATGTCACGCCGCATCAATATAGAGGAAAGTAGATGCCATTTATTCCAGGCTGCACTTATGCGTGCTCGAACGGCAGCTTCAGCTGTTCCAGTACAATCCAGAACATCCCCTAGATATTGAAACGATGTGACTTTCTCTATCTTAATGGCTTCAAAAACATTGCTATTTCGTATTTGTTTTTGTGGATTGATGCAAGCAGGACAAACAAAATTGGACACTTTAGGTAAAGTACCAATTATTTTTGAACAACGTTTGTGACACCACTGGTTACACTGCAAACTGAACAGGGCCATCGTCCAGTAGCTGTGGATTGGATGGGTTCACCAGTATTCATTGCTTTGGATTTGCTGATGTTGACTTTGAATCCATGATCGGCGAGTCTGGTGTTCCAATCTTCAAACATCTGTGCTGCATTCTGCTCAGACGTGGCTGTTAAAACGATATCATCAGCATATATTAGATTCCAAATGTCACCAGTGCGTATCGGTTTTGTGATTTCTTCCATCACAGTTATAAATAACAGTGGACTGAGAATCGAGCCTTGGTGAACTCCAATGCCGATGTCAAATGCATCTGTGTTTCGAACCGTTGTGCTGACGAGAGTCTTAGTATTTGTATACATTTCCATCACAAGTCGAACAAGATATTCTGGAATGAGTTGTCGACGTAGACTCCACCTGATTGCTTCAAGGGGAACTCGATCAAATGCTTTTTCAAGGTCTTCAAAAATGTGTGATAGTTGTTGATGCTTTGCGAGGTACTTCTCTTGCAGTTGCCGAAGGATGTGAATTGCATCAATTGTTGATTTCCCCGCTAGGAAACCAAATTGATAATTTCCGATTGTGATGCACTACGTTAATCTTCTCTCAATGATTTTCTCGACAATTTTCAGGGAGTGTTCTAACAGACGTATACCCCGATATGATGAACAGTTCAATGGATCACTTTTGCCTTTGATTTGTTTCGTTTAACAGACGGTTGAAGTATTCTCTCCACTGTAGCTTGGTCTCATCTTGTTCAAGAACCATCTCATTTTTGATACATGAGGCACCAACTATGTCTTTTTTCGTACGCTTCGCTTGTTTTGCTATACGATACAGAGATTTCATTTGTTCACCTTTGCTTTTAGTGAGCCACTCTCTGCACTGCTCTGTCCGGGCCAATGCAACTTGACGTCTTGGATTGTTGTTCTTCTCACATGTGATATATGATACATATATAAAGACTATAAAATCTCACCAGTCTTTAAAATAAAATCTTTATTTTAAAAAAGGTTATTTAATTCATTGCAGTCCAGTACACAATACAACA